TCATGGAACCATGATGAGGCTCAGCAAAGCTCCAGTTGGAAAGAGGCTGAAGCAGTACATAGAGTTCTTAAGAGCAATGTTCAAATTTTGCAAATTAAGAAGGTTAGATGGTTCACTGACAATCAAAATGTGAAGATAATCGTAAAGTCTGGCAGCAAGAAACCGGACTTGCAACATATTGCTTTGAGCATCCATGATACATGTAAAAAGGAAGGGATTAATATTCAGCCTGAGTGGATTAAAAGAATGGATAATGTGAAAGCTGATACACTTAGCCGAATTAAGGATAGTGATGATTGGCAAATCGATGTAAAGATTTTCAACCATTTGGACACAGTATGGGGCCCCCATACAATAGACAGATTTGCAACGAATTTAACCACGCATTGTAAACGATTTGACTCCAGGTTTTGGTGCCCTGGAACAGAAGGAGTTGATGCATTGAGCCAGAATTGGTCAGATGACTGTAACTGGATTGTTCCCCCACCTAGGCTTATTCTTAGAGCTTTGAAAAAGATGCAAAAAGAAAAAGCTAGTGGTACCATGATTGTTCCACAGTGGAGATCAGCTCCATTCTGGTCGGAATTAGTTTCCGGGAATGGTATATGTTCAAGGATTTTGTCAAAGAAAGCAAAATATTGCCACAGCAGAATGTTATTACTCAAAGTTGCAGCAAGTTTGGGATTTTCTCAGAAAACCCATTGAAGTTCACTTTGATAGGTTTGCACATTTTGTTTTGAACGTAATCTGACAGATAGGAGAGTATTTCACTAAAGAACAGAAGTAATCCATGAGTGAAGTAGAATATATTGGTGATTGACTACCGGTATTTATTTTTATTCAGGTATCCAACTGAAAAGCAGCGTTGGAGATGCTTTGAGAAAAGCAGGGGTTACTGATGAGAGTATAGGAGAGAGGATATGTGTTCATCTACTAGCAGCCAGGAGCGACAATACTGTCGCCAAGTACTACGGAGCTTTCAAACGACGGACAAGCTTTTGTCACCAGAACAGCTTCCAAGAGATCCCAGCAGAGCCTATTCATGTAGCAGTTTACTTGACAAAACTTCTAGAAGGAGGCTCGTCTCATAACGTCATCTCATCTGCAGTTTACGCAATCAAATGGGCACACGACATGAATGGCTTACCGGATCCTACGGACAACGCCTTCGTCCGGAATCTGCACGAGTCAGCGAAACGGACCACTGGCCACAAAGTCATCAAAAAGGATGCAGTTACAGCTGATGTAATCATTGAACTATGCAACAAATATGTAGATAGTAATGATCCAATTGAAATCAGAACATTGTGTATGATTACACAATAGTCATTTCCTGGTGGAGGTCAAAAGGTCACAAAGTCGTCATATTTTTAGACGACGGCCTTTGCGGTTGCAGTAACTTTAAAGATGCAGCAAATTCAAGCAAAGAAATTCAAACATCACTCCAAAATCTAGGTTTTTTGATAGCTCATGACAAGTGTGTTTGGGAACCTTCGCAGGTTGCACAGTGGTTGGGGTTCAAGTGGTCTATGTCCACAGGCATGTTGCATGCAACGGATACACAAATAGAAAGAGTGGAAACTGCTCTGGTTTCCCTGATTGAACAAATAGATATGAGTAAGAGTAGTCTGGTCGCAGCCAGATTTTTGGCCTCTGTTATTGGCCAGATAATATCTTTGATACATGCAGTTGGTAAAATTGCAAGATTAAAGACCAGAGCTTTATATCGATGCATAGATACTAGAGCCAGTTGGAATGCACCTGTTCTGATAGATGATGAGGCATACAAAGAAATCAAATTTTGGAATAATGAAGTCAAGAACCTGAATGATGAAGGGTTTAATATAGAGTACAAAGATGAGTATGAAATTGAAGCATTTAGTGACGCATCCGGAGACGGATACGGTGGGTATGTTTCCCTGTGTGCGGAAGCCTTAGCTGAAGGAACGGAAGTGATTGGTTCATGGAACCATGATGAGGCTCAGCCAAGCTCCAGTTGGAGAGAGGCTGAAGCTGTACATAGAGTTCTTAAGAGCAATGTTCAAATTTTGCAAAATAAGAAGGTTTAATAGATGGTTCACTGACAATAAAAATGTGAAGATAATCGTAAAGTCTGGCAGCAAGAAACCGGACTTGCAACATATCGCTTTGAGCATCCATGATACATGTAAAAAGGAAGGGATTAATATTCAGCCTGAGTGGATTAAAAGAACGGATAATGTGAAAGCTGATACACTTAGCTGAATTAAGGATAGTGATGATTGGCAAGTCGATGTAAAGATTTTCAACCATTTGGACACAGTATGGGGCCCCCATACAATAGACAGATTTGCAACGAATTTAACCACGCATTGTAAACGATTTGACTCCAGGTTTTGGTGCCCTGGAACAGAAGGAGTTGATGCATTTAGCCAGAATTGGTCAGATGACTGTAGCTGGATTGTTCCCCCACCTAGGCTTATTCTTAGAGCTTTGAAAAAGATGCAAAAAGAAAAAGCTAGTGGTACCATGATTGTTCCACAGTGGAGATCAGCTCCATTCTGGTCGGAATTAGTTTCCGGAAATGGAATGTTCAAGGATTTTGTCAAAGATAGCAAAATATTGCCACAGCAGAAAGTTATTACTCAAAGTTGCAGCAAGTTTGGGATTTTCTCAGAAAACCCATTGAAGTTCACTTTGATAGATTTGCACATTTTGTTTTGAACGTAATCTGACAGATAGGAGACTGTTTCACTAAAGAACAGAGGTAATCCGTGAGTGAAGTAGAATATATTGGTGATTGACTACCGGTATTTTTTTTTTTTTCAGGTATCCAACTGAAAAGCAGCGTTGGAGATGCTTTGAGAAAAGCAGGGGTTACTGATGAGAGTATAGGAGAGAGGATGTGTGTTCATCTACTAGCAGCCAGGAGCGACAATACTGTCGCCAAGTACTACGGAGCTTTCAAACGACGGACAAGCTTTTGTCACCAGAACAGCTTCCAAGAGATCCCAGCAGAGCCTATTCATGTAGCAGTTTACTTGACAAAACTTCTAGACGGAGGCTCGTCTCATAACGTCATCTCATCTGCAGTTTACGCAATCAAATGGGTACACGACATGAATGGCTTACCGGATCCTACAGACAACGCCTTCGTCCGGAATCTGCACGAGTCAGTGAAACGGACCACTGGCCACAAAGTCATCAAAAAGGATGCAGTTACAGCTGATATAACCATTGAACTATGCAACAAATATGTAGATGGTAATGATCCAATTGAAATCAGAACATTGTGTATGATTACAACAGCTTTTGCGGGGTTTTTGCAATATGATGAACTAAGTTCAATTCGATGTAATGAAGTGGTTATTCATCCTGATTACCTTATCATCAATATTAAGAAAAGTAAAACAGATCAACTTAGGCAAGGCAACAAAGTTATTACTGCCAAGGGTTCTACTTCGGCATGTCCTCACCATATGTTGTTGAGATACATATCAGTTACAGGTATTACTACTGATTCATATCATTTCTTGTTTAAACCTGCTAACAGATCCAAGAATGTCACTAAACTTATTTCTAAAGATAAGCCTTTAAGTTATACTAGAGCCAGAGAGACAATCCTCAAAATGCTTACGGCCGTTGCACCCGGTATGAATCTTGGCCTACATTCACTCAGGTCGGGGGGTGCTACAGCAGCAGCCAGTAACCAAATAAGCGATAGGTGTCTAAAAAGACACGGGAGATGGCAGAGGGATGAAAGTAAGGATGGTTACATAGCTGATTCGCTCCAGAAGCGTTTGGAAGTTACTCAAAGTCTTGGTTTGTAACTGTCAAAATATGATAACGCAAATTTCATATAATGCATTTATATCTGTAATGAAATGCTTTATCCATAGTAACACTTGCTTTGGGATGATCTTTTGGTCTATTAGGCGGCTCTTGACGTGCTTCGCTACCGCCCAATATATAAGTTGTTGTACTGTGTTTAATATGATTGAGTATAACTAAGACTATCCATTTCCCGCAGTTCAAAGTATAGCGGGAAATAATTGTCTTTGGAATTCGGGCGACGCATGTAATGCATACCAGGTGATTAGTAGAAAAGGTGTTACGTAATGAGATCAGTGAGTAGTATAAATAAGGAGGAGGGATAAAAGAAAGCCAGTTCTAGCAAAGCACTTCACAAGATCCACCTCGTTAGTTTCTAAAATTTGCTATTAATTTATAATTTGACATTCAGGTGAAGTCCAACACCTTCATGGAGGAGAGCGTTGAATGTTTTTGGGCACAGGTTTTCAGAGCATTTTAAAAATGTTATCTCTGTTTTTTCCTGGACGTCGCGTTTCTCCGAGGAAGTGAATTTATATTAGTTTTCTAAGTTCATTTATTTTATAAATGATACACATTGTAAGTAACGGTATAAAGCGACATTTTCACAAAGATTTCAGAATGGCTCAGTATGCAACAACAGTTTGCGGTTGTTGAATGAGGTGATTCTTATTGCAGGCCTTGATTGCATGTTGCAAACAGTTGCGTTAATACAAACACTGTACAAATGATAATAAACATAATTAACCCCTGGACCTGTATTTATTGGTAAGGGAATCGACGTTCCTTTTAATACAAGTGTGTAATATAACAAACAATTTTGGCTAGGTCCGGTTTAGTTTGTATATTTTGTGGGCGTAATTTTCGATTACACACTCCCAAAATGATACAGCATAAAATAACTTTATGAGAATAAAAGCTACGAGTTATTTTTTGCAAATAATTAATACAATTGTTTTATATTTAAATTGTAATGTGAAAGTTCATATAGTTGTGAAGAATAAATGGCGGGAAAAGCCGACGGCTCTTGACGTGCTTCGCTACCGCCCAATATATTTATAGTTGTTGTACTGTGTTTAATATGATTGAGTATAACTAAGACTTATTTCTTTTAATCGCCCAATATGCCTGCATGTGCAGTGTCATTTGCAGCTCATTATTTTGGGCCTGAGGATTTCACAGGAACATACCTGTAAGCTCCAGTAGTCTGTCTGCCAGTGTACTCTTTCCATGGTCAACATGAGCAATGATGCTGAAGTTCCGAATGTTCTCCACTGGAAACATTGACATATCAATTGCATCCTGGATTGGAAATGATCATTTATTTGTTAATAAACAGGTCCCACATCTTAAAAGAGATGTAGGAGGGATGTTTATTTCACTCATTGACACAGGGCAGGGGCATTGGTTTTTGAAACTGCCCAAATCACTCTGCACAATGCTGAATTGATTAATTGCTTCTATACTTTTACAGACTTGAAATGCTCATTTGCTGTGAAGCGTTAACATTTTACTGCCTTAACAGTATTGAGAGTCCCATAAGGCGCGGTTCAAGAGCCAATATTTGTTTTTTTTGGGGGGGGGGGGGCTAGCAGGGTGGATCCAGAATTTTTTTGAGGGAGGCGTGCTGAAATGTAGACCGGTTATTTTCTCCAGACACTTAGGCCTCCGAAAATCAATAGGTGAGGGGGGGGGGGGGCCAATAAAATCCTAAAATCATTCACACTATATTAACTTAAAGTGTACAAATGCACCTTTTTCACGACTATTTATTTAGGGAAACCGTTTGCATGTACCTCACATTCTTACATTTTGCTAGTGCAATTTTAATTTTTTTTATGGATTTTTTTTCAGGTGGGGGGGGGGGGGGCTAGACAACTGAGTCCCACATTTTTGGACTACATGTACCCTTACATTACTGAATTCCCGACAATGAAGCCATTTATTTTCAAGGGAGTAACTTTATGTGGAGGGGTGTTCTGCAATTATTTCAAATAACAAACTCGTTTTGAGCACAGCACACACTAAAATCTTTCTCAGTCCATGAGTTATGCAAGTACAATTTGGTGGGAAAATGTGTCTAACACAGATTGTGTACATCATTGTATGACCGTTCACTCTGTACAGTAACTTTACATTGATGACATAAGAAATGTGTTTTCCCATCAGTTTGCTGACATATGTGTTTTACGAAAAGGAATGGAGGGTTAGGCCTATTTGGTCGCATTTTGTTAAACAATTATTCATCACAAATCTGTTCCTCAAAAACAAACAACCAAACAAACAAACAAACAAACAACCAATGAACAATGACATTTAGAATTTATTGACAAAACCAAACAAATTGAAAAAAGTTGCATTTGGAGGAATTAATACAAACAGGCAAACAGGCAAACACACTTACCCCTGATTTCCTTTGATCTGATGCTGATCTTCCAGGTCCAGATGTAAGAAAAGTTTTTCGGCTCTGGCGATCACTTCGAAGGAGACCTACGCTTGATCTTGCTTTCAAAAATACAGCAGTCGACGCCATCGACATGCCATTGTTGCCCATGTTGCCGGTCATACCGGTCGATACACTTCGACTCGTGCCATCACTTAAACCACATCTAGTCCTAATAACTTTCAAACAGTGACAAAGATGACATCTGTACAGCTTCAATAGTAACATGATGATGTCTTTTCCGACTAAATGAGGGCTCAAATAATTAATCTAAATCAACTTTTGGATTCAAAGTTTGACGAAAACCTTGGCCATGGAGGCCGCCATCTTTATCATGTTTATGTTGTAACTATTGAGGGCGCTATTTAGAATTTTTTGGGGTAAAAGCATGTCTATGGGTAAAAGCGTCTATGGGTAAAAAGTAAGCACGGATCGAGGGCTGCCACATTGACATTATAAATTAACTTCCGTTTCAGTCAAAATAAAAGTTCACAGATAATTATAATAAATGTATTTTCATTATGATATTTATCTCTAGCGCGGTAAACCTCGTCATGTTAACATAGTGGATAAGTTGGGTTCCTCCCCCCCCCCCCCCAAGAAAAAAAACCTTCGGCTCGCGCATACTGTCGGTTTCGAAAAAATAAAATAAAACCAAAATGAACTTTGCTCAGCAGAAGGAAATGGGGCGATACTTTGATCTGAATTGAGTCTCCCAATTGTCACTGGAGACAAAATGAAAGTCATGAAACAAGCGCCTGATGAAGCCGAAGCTGACAGGAAAAAAAGCCAAGGTTTGACAAATATGGCCACCTGGCTCGTGCTTGGTCCCGGGAAATTTAAATGATAAAAGAATGTTAAAGAAATCTGCATATTTTTGCATGTGTTGTCAGTATTCAAGTCGATCATTGAAACAATCAATGTTGACTGTAGCATGCAAAGTGCACAACACGGCAATGCGCAAAAAGGCTAAGGCTTTAATCAAGGCTATAAACCCTGTGCGCGCGCCGAAACTTTAAATTAATTTCGTGAACCACGTGTCTCGCTGGTGCACATTAACCTGATAGCTTTTACGTGCATCTGCCAGGTGCCAGATAAGTTTTTGTTCGGTCGGCCATTTTTAAAAAAGAAATTTGGGACTAGACGGGAGGTTCGACACGTTTGGTCTTCGAATTTGGAAGAAAATATTACGCTGTACCTGACTTTTATGAGGCTTCAAAAAACAAGAATGTGATGAGTCCGTGGTCCGCCAACTTGGTGAGTGTAAAACTGAGCCTTATTTGCAATTAATTTTGTCAAATTATATGATTACAAAATTGTGCTGTTTGATTCAGTGGAGTGGTGTGTACATGTATGCGTGGTTTCGCCTGCATGATAAAGGTGCGTGGCGAGGAGGGGCGGAAGGGGGGGGGGGGGTGTGACGTGGCTTTTTATTTTTTGAGGGGGAGGGGGGTTCGTGACATGGCGTTTGGGTGGGTGGGGGGGGGGGGGAGAACGAATTACTTGTACTCTTCTTAATAAAGCTTTCATTACCCCCTACATTAGTATAAAGACACGGGAAAATAACTATTTTGTTTTAATTAACGCCTGAAAAAACAACGAAGTGGCTATCGTTACGGCAGTCGTTGTTTAGCGCCCTCTACTATTCTTTTTTGGATACGCACGCAGGTATATAATTATTGGTTTCCCCATGTTTTGGCGAGCAGTGCGACAGCTCAGTCGATAGAAGGTAGGATTTTGCACCACGAGGTTGCGGGTTCGAATCTCAGTTTTGCACTCGAATTTTTTTCCTTTTCTAACCTGAGGCTTTGGAGGATTTTTTTTAAAAGGGAAATAAAGTCCGAATTTCATAACGTTCAAATTCACTTTTTTCCTTCTAATTTTATATTTTCTTGTCATGTTTTTATAAAAGTTGCAGTCTACCGTAACGATAGAAAATGGGAAATGCGTTACGGCTGCCGTAATAATAGCCACTGCGAAAAAAAAATAGATCTGTTTTCGGTTTCCCTACCTACCCTACTCTGACAGCCCCTACCCTAATTTTTTTATGGGAAAATGAGAAAAAATTCCAAAACCATCATTTTTTTACCTTTTCCCTTGATTAGTCCTAGCTTGAGTAACTCCAGCTGACATGTTCCATATTCATTCACATGTAACGCTGGAGGCAAAACCTGTTCGTTAGAATGTGGTAGCAAGACTACGGGACTCTGAGCAACCTGCGAGAACATTCGTTACCAGAGAAATCAATGACTCTTCCCTTCATGAATTCAGATCTGCTCTTGACCACGCGGATTGGAGTGACGTGTATATAAAAGAGGAAGCTGACGCTGCTTATGACTCTTTTCTATCTATCTTTTTATCCTATTTTAATCACCATTTTCCTCCCATTACCAAGACGATTAGCCATAACAAGAAAAGAAATCAGCCTTGGATTACCCAGTCTATAATCAATTCTTGCCTTTTCAAAAACTCCATCGGCGCTTTCTACGCAGCCCTTCTGAAGCCAATGAACGTCAGTATAAAACTTATCGCAATCGACTAACTGCTACTATTCGCCAAGCCAAGAGAAACTACTACGCCCATAAGCTAGATCTTCAAAAAAGCCATCTGAAGCATCTTTGGCGTGAGATTAATGGTATTCTAGGAAAGCAGAAGCTCCCAGATGATTTCCCAACCGACGGTGTACAATTTTCCTCTCAACCTGATACAGTTTCCAACTCGTTTAATCAATTCTTTACAAACATCGGTTCCTCCTTGGCTAGCAGAAGTCCCCCTTCCCATTAACACTTTTCTGACACGCTCCTTCATCCCAACGCCTCTTCTTTTTTCCTCAATCAAACTGACATCTCTGAACTTATACAGGTAGGAAGGAAAATGAAGAACGGGAGTAGCTGTGGCTTCGATGGTATAAGTTGCACGGTGATTAAACATGTCCTGCCTTCCATTGCTGCGCCTCTTGTCTATATCTTCAACCTCTCTTTCATTTCTGGATCTGTCCGTCTTAATCTCAAGGTCGCTAAAATCGTTCCTGTTTTCAAAAACGGCGATAAACATCACATCAATAATTACCGACCTATTTCTATTCTTCCCTGCTTTTCTAAACTCCTTGAGAGGCTTGTATATAATCGACTTTCTCATTTCATCTCTCATTTTCATATCCTCTCCGATCATCAATTTGGCTTTAGGTCTAAACATTCCACTGATATGGCGCTTATTGAACTGGTCGATAATATTACCAATGCTCTTGAAAAGAAACTTTACACTATTGGCATCTTCATCGATCTTTCAAAAGCGTTTGATACCATCGACCACTCTTTTCTCTTATCGAAGCTGGATCATTATGGTATTAGGGGTATTCCACATCAATGGTTTGCTGACTATCTATCCAATAGATGCCAGTTCACTTCCATCAAAGGGTGCAATTCTGATCGCCTTGGTATAGACTGTGGTGTCCCTCAGGGATCAATTCTTGGTCCTCTACTGTTTCTACTATACATCAACGACATACATTACTCTTCATCTCTATTATCTTTTACGCTATTTGCCGATGATACAACGATTTTCTATTCTCATGCAGACATCACTTCTCTTATTGACACTCTTAATGCAGAACTCATCAAAATCTCTTCCTGGTTCAAGGCTAACAAGCTTTCCCTAAACCTGTCTAAAAACGAACTTCATTTTCTTCAGCAAACTCAACAACCCTCAAAATACCGATCTCCCTCCTATTGTCATGGATGGCAAGCCCATAACTAGGGTTCTCTCTACAAAATTCTTAGGCGTTCTCATCGATCACAAACTCTCCTGGTCCAACCACATCTCTCTTATTACTAAAACCATTTCTCGCAACTCTGGCGTCATCTCTAGGATTCGTCATTTTCTCCCCACGTCCTCTACATGTATGTCCCTCCTCTATAATACTCTCATCTTACCCTATTTGAACTATTGCAACATTGTCTGGGCTCATGCCAGTAATACCAAGTTATATCCACTAAATATTGCACAAAAAAGGGCTGTTCGGATTTGCACTTTTTCATCGCCAAGAGAACATTGTTCACATCTTTTTGCACAGTTAAGCACTCTTACTCTTGCTGATATTAATAAATGTCACACTGCTATATTCATGTACAAATTCACCAACAGTCTTCTCCCCAGCACATTTTCGTCTTTCTTTTCTTCAGTACACAACACCCATAGTCACTTTACTAGATCAAGCAGTAGCCTGTACATTCCATTCACTCGCACTCTTTATTCCCTTAACACTCTTCGGTACCATGGTCCCCGATTATGGAATACTATTAATCCCAGCATTAGAACACTGTCTTCCGTGGGGCGATTTAAATCACGGTACAAGTAGGGCTAGTGAACTTTTTTTTAAATGGTTGTATTAGTTTAAGAGATTGCTTTCATTGTAAAGCCCACCCAAAAAGAAAACAAATGATGGTAAAATTGCAAAAATTGACCCATGCAATCCAAAGTTATGGTCAAATATATGTCGATCAAATGACGTTATTTTGTATAGGAAATGTGTACGAAAATGGTGAATTTTTGTGAAATTGAATAAAAAGGCATATTTGAACATCTGTTATGGTGTAAATAAACACTTTGGTAAACTTTAACTTGTTTTTGTCCATTGTTTATCACAAATACTATTGGTTTCACTTGGTTTTGAGTTGATAAAAAACTTGATATGCAATAAAATGAATGTTAAAAATGTACTTTTACACTAAAAATCATGAACGGCAAGGTTGAAAAATGACTAAGTCCTACCCAAAAAGCACTAAAAGTAACAAAACTTCCATTCACTAGAACTTATTTTTACCAAATTTGGATGACACAAGGATTGTGTGTAGATAAAGCATGTGGACCCCAAAAAGACCACACAAAAATCTAAAATCTAAAAAAAAACCTACTTTTTTTGGCAAATGTTTGGCCAAAATGGAGAAATTTCAGTCTGGCATGCGTAAACAAGCTGGCCCAAGCCGAAGTCCAATTGTCAATGCCCAAAATCCCAAAATTTGACAAAAATTTAAACAAAGATAAAAACTTGGGTATCCCATTAAGGTTATAAAACGAAGTTTCTCTCATATTTGGGTTATTTTATCCCATTTTGGTGCAAATCTCATAAGCCTAGTAATTTAGTAAAAAAAAGTATGCGCTGTGCGTAATGATTTTCCTGCGTAATTCCAATGGCCTAACGTAACATCAGTGCCCATTTTGTACACAAAAATCGTACATGCTATAGCCACCCAACAAACTTTAAAAACATCAGATTTCACTCTCAAAAACGGCCACAAAGTTATTAGATATGCTACCTGAGATACAAGGAGAGATCGATTATTAAG